ACCCTTGGGGTACGTAAACAAGGAAATAACTTTCAGGAATTATTTCATTATATTGATAATGTCATCGTCTGTTTATTGTCACCCCCATCATGCTGCAGGTTAGAGACAGTGAACACAAAAGCAGCAGCGGTGGAAGAGCAAAAGTGCTTGGTACAGTAGTATGCCTTGGAGGTGCTATCTTGATGACCTTTTACAGAGGAATGCCTTTATTTAGCTCTTCACAGCCACAAGGTGCAATTCAAACTGTTGATCAAGCCCTCATATTTAGCTTAGCTAAAAGGAAAGAGAGATGGACTATTGGTTCAATAGCTTTGATCGCCGGAACACTGTTGTGGTCTTCATGGTTCCTTCTTCTTCAATCAAATATTGCTAGGAGTTATCCATGCCAATGCTCCAGCACTGCTATCATGGCCTTTTTTGGCGCCATTCAATCAGCTATCTTAAGTTTCTGCATAGACAGAAACCTTGCCCTGTGGGTTTTGAAGGGAAAAACAGAGATCTTGAGTCTTCTGTATGCTGTAAGTATATAGACTTTTCCCGAAGTTTTGTTATATCATCACTCGTTTGCATCAGTATCCTCTGATTGCAGACAACTTACGGGCATACACATTTCTACTTTTGGGTATTAACCTAATCTAATATCAAGATAAACTACTCTGATTTACTACTATTCATGGCTTGCTAAATCACGTCTAATGGGGGCCATTTTTCTTTTTTCGAATTTTGCAAATTATGTAATGTCCTCTAGAGTTTGAACAGAATGCTTTTTTTTTTTTTTTTTTTTGGTTGATTAATTACCTGAATTAGTTGGACATGATGAAACCTGTTCTATGCACCAAGCAATGGCGTTTAGCCCAAACTTGCCAGCTACTCAACTTATATATAAATATATATATTGTGGTGGATGCAGGGAATGGTAGGATCAGGGTTGTGTATTGTGGGGATGGCGTGGTGTGTCAAGAAACAGGGTCCCGTCTTCACAGCAGCATTCAGCCCCTGGTTCAGATAATGGCAGCCATGTTCGAAGTCCCCATCCTACATGAAGAAATCCATCTTGGGAGGTAATTTCTTGTTTAATTACTATAGGACTGCCTGTTAACAGTTCATCAATACTCCTAAATATGTTGCTTACTTTCTGGTTTCTTTGTGGCAACACAACATGCAGCTTATTAGGATCTATCGTTGTAATAGTTGGGTTATACGCCCTGCTGTGGGGGAAGAACAAAGAAATGCCAAAGTGTGAGCCAAATGTAGCCCATCAAACTGAGGAGATTAAGGACCAAGAGCCACAGTTTCAAGTCGTTGAAATCAGTTGTGATTCTAGGCCTCCGTGATGTCAACTTGTTCAGTACTGCTTTCCTACTCGCAAACAATTCACTGTTTCTGTTGGACAGTACAATATGTTAGTTACTTTCCAGACTATTATTACTTCTGCGAAACTTTCCGATGATCCACGCGGCATTTATAAAGTCTCAACTTTCTCTCTCTCTCTCTCTCTCTCTGTAACATTTTGCAAGTACATCATTCCCGTACCCACAGTAGTCCAGTTTCTTGATTGAAAAACCATGGAAAATGAAAAAGGGTAAGTAGTTTCCCTCTCTTTAGACGTGGACACAGGTTTACAGGGAGTGTGTTCTGAAGAAGGGAGGTGTTCGTAAGATTCTCATTCCCATTATGTGTTAAGCTTGACTAAACAAAGAGCGCAAAACTAGGCTAGACTGTAACATATTGCTGATCTCCAGAAATAATTTCTAATATAATCAATGGACTTAATCCCTTTATAGAGAGATTTCATGCGATTGTTTTACATTTAGTTCAATTGTTTTGTCTTAAAACTTGTTTAGATGATCACAATCAACAGATCTAAAGCAAATAGAATGACAATAAAATGATTGACAAAAGAACAAACAGTTTTACAAATTTTAAAAGTTTTTGGGTTACAATAGATTGATGAACTATGCGTCCTTTAGCGTAGTAGTGAAGACAGGTCATGGTTCAGCGGAAATATGCGGAAGTTTATCGTCTTATTTCAAACTCGAGACTTGGAATGGGTGTCCAATTAAAAAACAGGGAAACCAGTCAAACTTTTCAGTAGAAAAGTGGTAGATCATGAGTTTATTATGCTCTCAAGCCTTATTAAATTGTGTGCATCTAGACTTTGAGTAAGTAATTGTGATTTAACTTGTGCTAGTCTAGTGTTAGAAATAAAAAAACCTTGCTTGGAATTGACAGAGATATGCATTTAAATTATGGCACCATCACTCTCGATCTCGAAGACGGAATTAGAAATTTCCGATAATGCAGCCTCTTTACTAGCCTCTCCAATGGGCCGAACTTCAGCCTTCAGTGGTATGGTTACTTGGGTGTACATGCCTATTCCGTCCCCCAATTCAGATGATTCAATGCTAATGTGTCCTTGACTTACCCATCACATCACATGTTTTAGGTCATGGTTTTGATCCCGAGCCCACATCTCCATCCACTTGGACAAGCTCCATCTTTGTCACTCTCATATATGTTGTACAAGCATATGACTTGATATGAAATTGTTGGCAGGGCTATTGTGTAAGCTATTACCCAACTTGAATGGTATATTAGCCGGGACATCAGACAGGTACCAAGTTATACCCTTCCCATGAGAACGTCATTACACTTCTTTTAGGGGACTGCCAAGCATATTTGTCCTCCTACCTCTGGTTAAGTAGTCCGAAACACTACCCACTGATCAAGCATGCCTTCAACATATTTATCAGCCATATCTCCATCTCTCTGCTCCGACTACCGACAATTTCTAACGAGAAGATATTGACCAAGCTTCTCTCTATAAGGCCACTCGCTTCAGCACTCACATAACTACAGCACATAAAGAATTTGTCACAACTTGCTCAAACCTAGCCCTAGCAAGATCAATAACCAGACTTCCGTAATGCTAGTAAGTCCACAAAATGTAACAGAAATTATCCCCAGCTGCAGTTAAGAATTGCATACAGATTATTTCAGATATCAAAATTGCATTGCATCCATAATTACGTTACTTTGTCTCTGTGTGTGTTTTGCCTTTTGTTTGGTTGTGTTTTTTTGCTGTGGGTTCTTGTGATGTTGGCGGAAGAGTGATTTGGGGGGGGGTCCATTTCAACTACAAAATTGACTTCGAATTGCAATACAATGAAAAATAAGTAACGGCCCATTCATAACATTTCAAAAGACAATTAAATGGTACACAATGTTGGGGAGTTTCTGTTTGAGTGCTTGCCGGCGTATAGATGGCTGCAGAGAGCATAAACAGTCACCTCAAGAAGTAAATAATACATTGAAGGGTGAGTTGTCCTTCGTACAAAACAAATCCAATTGGAAGTGCATAAGTGTATGTACAAGTTTACCTACAAAGCAGGATGATACCCGAGATGAACATTTGCTTCCACCCTATGCACTACTCTCCTTACACTCCAGTCCTGACAGAACTCCAAGGCAAGCCGAAGAGCAGTTCCAAGTCCAAGCACAACAATAACGCCTACATATAGGGTTTGAATCAGCAGGCAAACTTCACGTTAACTACTGGATTTTGACATCAACAGGTAGTCAGGTACAACATTAGAGTTGAAACGATAAGATTAATTATGTACCAATTATAATGTTGACAGGAAGTGCAGAGACACCGAGCGTAATAGATATCAACACATCCAGCAGGAGACCACCAATGAGGATTGAGAATGCCACCCAAAGCGGACTAAAACAACCCTGTAACAAAAGTGATTGGATTTGGAACCAGAACATTCACAATTCGCTAAATGAGCATCTCAATGCAGAAGCTAGGCTACATGCACCTACTTCTTTTTCAGAAGGTACTACATGCACCTACTTACCCTCCCTCGTTCTTGTGCTATGCTCGACCCTCCAAAGGCAGGGTCAACCCTCCAAACCCAGTAACTTGTCTGCTGTACAGGCAAAACAATCGGTCAGAGATTTATTAGATGTAACAAATGTGCCAACAGCATGGGGAATGCTAATTTAGAAGCACTGTGTACTATGTTATTATCTTCGTACACAAGTTAACATCATCAGTTATTGATGCTTACAAATCAAAGGTGATGTAGACAGTTATGCACCAGTAAGAGAAAGAGACACAGAGAACTGTAACACCAAAGAGAAAAAAAAAAAACCCAATCAACAGACTAAGGACGTATCTTCTTGACAGCTACATTCCTCCGCAGATCCGATATCCACAGCTACTATGATAGCACTTTCAGCAGAACAGCATAATGAAACGTAGACCAGGCCAGATTGAAGAAGCAGAGAAACATTAACCAGCAAGAGTTTTGGTTTTTGGAACAGGCTTCAAGTAGCAAAAGTATTAGGTTTATAAATCCACATTACATGACTAAAATCCAGTTATAAATAGCAACCACAGGCCAAGAGTGTGAAGTCAGAGGCAAGCCATTGGAGCACTCAGCGGAAGCCAAGTCAACCTAGCACCTAACCAACCAAACCAAGCTTTATGTCCCAAGTCGGCTATATGAGTTCGTCTTCGCCATTCATTTCGGACATGCGCTATATGCTTAAATATTTTCATATCTGGCCAAGTCAACCTAGCACTTGTGTTCCAAAATTCAGTCGTAAAAGTAAAATATGCTACAGTAAATCCTACTGAATGGATACAAGCATGCCTATGTGACATTTGCAGGTGTATAACTATCCACTATCCACTATCCACTATCCTCAATTTAGTCCTAAACCTTTACACTTATGGGACAAAAAATACCTACACTTTAGGGACAAAAATACCTACACTTGGCTGAGAGACTGGAAGTGGCACATGTGCAGCTACTTGTCTGCATCAAAACGCTGAGGTGCATCATTATATTATCCCAAATTGACACAGGAAAGTGATTAACCAATTTCAAGGATCACTTACTGGCATATCTCACATTTATTTGAACTTCTCATTCGAAACCATGTTTCTATGCATGACCGGTGGGCCTTCGAAAGCCCACCTCGACACTTGCAGCCAAGATCTATTAAATCTTCATCCTTTTCCTGTTGACAAACTCTGCAAAGCAACATACAAAACAATTATACTTCAAGTCTTCACTTCACAATCAAAAAGAATTAAAGGATACCATCACAGTGCATTCCACATTCAAGAAAAAGATGCTTTACAAAATTCTGAAGCTGACAGCAGAATATGGATTTGGAATCTCCAAGTTAAAAGTATAATGTTCCGTTATAGTTGATCTCAATTTTCACAACGAAGTGACTTGAGCAAGCTATAAAGGATTCCATTGGAAGTAACAGGGAGCCAAAAATAGGAAATAGAGCAAATTTACAAAATTCTTAGAATACATATGGTCTTCTGAATAATCCACTTCAAGATTCCCTACGCATTTTTACATGTAGTTTTAACAGCACGTTATTACAAGTTGAGAAGTCTATTAAAATATACTTAAGTTCTTCAAAGTTCATGTGATCAAACTTGATTAAGTTCTGGTCCTTTATTGGAGGTTCGGATTCAATTCATTAAAGTGCACCTGAAAACTCTAGTTCATTAATAATATATCTCTATTGTTAATTTCTTCATTTATTAATGAGCATTTAGTGTTACGTTCTACATTTAGCTGAAAGGGTATCTGTTGCTAAAAACCTTGGAAACTACAAGGTTTGGGTCCTGGTGAAGAGACAACGTTGGTGTGGTTATCTAATGAGGGCTATCACCCATGTACACTCCATGCCATTCAAACCAAGGGTGGGGTGGGATGTGGGAATAGCTTCATCCATTCAATATATCTTTCTCAAACACTATATACAAGCCGCAGTTACATGCCTCTCTCTGCGTACAGTCCTACTGGTGAGCTACACTTGCTTTGCTATTGAGAGAAAAAATCCTAGGGTTGTCCTCATTGAGTAACTCTAAAAACACATTTTTTACATGCATGAGATTAAGCACTTGATGAATGTCTTATGGAGCGTTAATAGAATAACAATGATCAAAATTTCATTTTGGTGTGAAAATAGAAAATTTTAAAATGATGATTCTAAAACATTGTGAAATACTGGAAGAAAAATTTCAGATCACGAGATTTTCAATTTTCAAACTCCTGACTTGAGTTGAAAAGACATCGAACCAAATTTTGATCCTTGTGGAATAGTTAAAAAGCCGCTTGGAAAGTAGACTTCCTCTATCCCTATTATGTTATTGGCTTTACTTGGTACTTAATATTGAGAAACCGAGTTGAGCGCATCAACTCTAGTCAAGCGTTTGTTGATCAGCTCCTTTGCTCTCATTTAATAGGTATAAAATATTAGAGTTCATCCGCAATTAGTATGTCAACAAAGGTTGTACAGGGTAAAGTAGTAATAATTCACCTTTGACATGTTAAATGGGACAATATTTTAAGGACACCTTAAAAAGAAACTGTACACATTCTTCTAGGGATATCTCGAAAACAACATAACTTGTAATATGGAATGTCTCAGACTTTAATTCACCAGTAAAATATTTGAGCTCCAGACTAATGCCTTCAATTATGAGCAAGCGTTCAACATATTCCATTATTTTACAGGCATCCATTCACACCATAACAGATTTTGTTTTGTGTCTCAAAGCATTTCCCACGAATAAGCAATAACATCAGTATGTCATTTTGAAATATTTATTTCATTTTTTTCCTTAGTCTGGTTTGCGCTTTTAAAATTTGGCTAAATAAATGTTTTCGAATTGAGTAAATTATTTAATTTAATTTAATTTAATTTACTAATATTCTCAATGATAATTGAAGCTGATTAAACCGAGTGAGAATAAGCACTATCACACTTGGGCTGAAGCACAATTTTATACGATCACAAAGCAACACTTGGCTTCATAGAGCAAAGCATAAATTGCAACACCACGTGTGTAACATACAAGAGGATATGAGAACCAAGGATATGAGCAGTTTCAATGAGAGCTAGGCAGAAGATCTACATAAAGTTACACCAAAACATGAGGGTGTTGCATTATAGTGAAGCTTTGCTGTTATGAACTTCAAATTGTAACACGTTAGTTTTCCAGCTATAAAATTGATGAACATGACAATTAATTCAACATTAAAAGAGCAATTTACCTGCATTGTTCACGGGAACTTGTATTCCTTGATAAGTGAGCTTTCTTAGGAGACTCCACAGCGGCCACTTCTCCATCGGTGGCCTCGGAAAACTTGTCAACTCGTTCAACAATCGCACCAACTTGATTGAATGACTCCCCATCAGAAACCACAATGGTGAGCAACGTTTGATCACTGTTTTGGATGGGCGAAACTCCCAATGAGCTCTGTTCTTTGTCCTCTACAATCTGCATCTCAAGATCCAACGGATCGCCACAAATACGATGGTCGTCACTTGCGACACCCTTTCCCACTGAGTCGTCATTCTGCATTTATAATCTTTCTGAACAGTGCTTCAGGAGCCCCTCCTCTAGTGTAGAGGACCTAATTTCACTAAAAACTTCAACCGCAGATCCGAAAACAAGTCGAAACCAAGACAAAATTATCAATTTTTTTGCGGGGGTGTGGATTTTATCAAGTCCAAATCTTACGAAAGATGAGAGTTTGTGTATATATGCATATGCTACGAGGCTAAAAGCTAGGTATAAAAATTTAGGCTTCGAGCTCAAATCTGAATCAAAGGAGACACCCCATATTTTCATCCCAACAAACACAAATCTATCAACAAAAATAGAGCAGAGTTGGAATAAATAAAAGCAGGATAATAGAGAAACCTAATCGCTATGTACGTGTAAAGAAGCAAAGAAAAGTACTCGTCTGTTTGCTAAAATTTGAAAATGAGAATTGGAAATGGTTCAACTACGCCACACTACTACTGCTGCTGCGGAGATAGAGAGAGAGAGAGAGAGAGAGGTGATCGTACCTTGAAGCGGAGATTGATGGGACTTGCAAAACAGACCTCGACGGTGTAAGTTAGTTGATGAAAATTAGTAATTCAAGGTAGAAAAAAGGAAAGAAGAATGAAGGCGGAATAAGCGGTATTTATTTAGATAGGGGATGCTTAAGGTACCAAATTTTTTTTTTTTTTACAAGTTAAAATGACTGATTCATGAATCGAAAATTCCCTACTAATTTGAGTATTCCTAGCATGTTTGATAGGACTTTTCTGAAATATTCCAAGATGAAGATCGATATTACCAAAACATTGTTGCTAAGATCAAGCATCATCGGCGCGCAAAGGTCCTCGCCCCTGAGGTACTCGTCATATAGGATCATGGCATTCAGTATGTTTTACAACCGACACGTAGCCTCGTCTGATATGGTACCTCGGTCGGTATACCTCCCTCGGGTCCGAGATGAGCCTTTCCTCGGTGCCGAGAGGTACCCCGTCCTAGACGCCTCCTCTACTCCAGGATAAGCTATTGACGTACAGGTCATTAGCCTAGGCTAATCTAGGCTATTCAGCATGACCTCGTCTTACACAATTAGTGTCAGAACGTACAGGAATGCAGGGGCCACAGCCAATGGGGGATGGATGCGTGGCATATGATATCACATCGAAGACAGAGAAACCGCATGCCGTTGCTGACACGCGACTTGGGAAAGCAAACGATTAATTACACCATTCCCTTGACGAGACTGCATTCAATGCGGTAAGGCTCGGAAATGAAAGGCAATAAATGCTCCTAATACAGAGCATTTATTGCATCCTCCCCGAGAGGAGTACATTGTACCGTCGGCATCCCGATGACACAGCATTGATTGCTCGGGACCCCGAGCAGTTAAGAAGAGAAGACATTCCTCATCAGAATCAGTGTGCACACTGCCTGTACCTAATGATCATCTACTGACTACACTGACAGCAATCATGAGCTTTTGAGGTATAAATACTCCTTGCAAAAGGCAAGACGGGTATGCAACAAAAAACTCTTTACTACAATACACACTCAGTGTTTTCTCCTTCCTCTCTCTTTCTCAAAGACTGACTAGATCGTCGGAGGGGATACGCCAGAAAACACTCCGGTGCCCTTCTAACTTGTTCTTCTTTGTTCCAGGGACCTCTTTCAGCCTTACTGGATCGTTCTTCCGCTCCCCCAGGGTCTCCCGTTGCCGTTCCAGGTTACCACCGGACCTCGCAGGCTGTTCCAAGCAGCGTGGTTGGTCACTCAACTGGCTCACTCGAGTTCACCAAGGGAGAGATCTGTTCTCGTTTTTTATATTGTGCAGGATCTTGCACGCACAATCTGGCGCCGTCTGTGGGAAACGATTAGTTTTCCTAGTTTTTTTCTCTATAAAGAACAGTGATCATGGTGAACACTCGACCGAAAGGGATTGCTACCCACTCCAGGGGGTTCGTCCAAAGGAGTTCACACTGTGTTCAAGGAACCCATCTTCAAGTTGCTCCATAAAATCAAGCACGAGCCGTTCTTCAAATGGCCGCCCAGGATGCAGAGCGACCCCTCCACCCGTGATCAAAAGGTTAGGTGTTCCTATCACCGGGATTTCGGGCATCGCACCGAAAGCTCCAGGGTGTTCAAATCGTTCTTGGAAAGATTGGTCCGAGACGGATATTTGAAAGAGTACATAGAGCCCAGGCCAGAAGAGAGACAAGCCCTTGCCCCGACCGAGGAGCCGGACAACATCATAGATGTCATCCATATATGTCCCCTGGATCGCCCCACGTCCAAGGAACTCGAGTCCGACCTCAAAAGGGTAGCTTTTACGAGGAAGGTAGCCGAGGTTGATGTAGGGCCACCAAGTAAAAGGGTCAGGACGGGTGAGCTTGGGATTACATTCTCTGACGCGGATTTGACAGGCGTAGTGACTCCTCATAACGACGCCCTTGTCTTGACCCTGAGGATAGGAAAATTTGATGTCAAAAGGATTTTCATAGACTCTGGAAGTTCCTCGGAGGTGATGTACTCCGAAACTTTAAAACGGATGGGTCTTGGCCCCAAAGACCTCACCAAAGTCAGGACACCCCTCATCGGATTCAACGGCTCGTTCGCCCTGCCCGTGGGAAAAATCACATTGCCAGTTGTCACAGGTCCCTTTGTCATCGACACCGAGTTTGTCGTGATCGATACGGACTCTCCCTACAACGTGATTATGGGGTGAACATGGCTGCATGCGTTGGGAGCGGTGCACTCCACTTTCCATCAGAAATTAAAATTCGCCACGCCAGAGGGTATCATGGAGATCCGGGGGGACCAAGCGTCCGCGAAAAATTATTTTTATTCAGCCGTTCGAGCCGGGGCGTTCAGCCAGGAGAAGGGGCGAGCACTGGAAGAGATTATGGAAAAATAGCAATCACAGTCCGGGCGTCCAGGAATAGATGACCCCCGGATAGACCCAACTGAGCGATCGGTAGAAGACCTCCGGAAGGTACCCTTGGTGGAGGGAGAAGAAGAGAGGTATTTCTTAGTTGGGACCTCGATGCCCACAGCCGAACATGAGGAGATGATCGAGTTCCTAAGGGGAAATACAGACGTGTTCGCACGGAACGAAATGGAAATGACGGCGGTAGACCCCGAGATAATCACACACAGGCTGCATGTTGACCCGTCGCACAAGCCAGTCAAACAGAGGCCACGACGCATGGCCCCGCATCACACCAGCGCGGTCAACGAGGAAATCGACAAACTCCTGAAGGCCGACGCCATTCGAGAGATACAGTTTCCAGAATGGCTGTCTAATACGGTGTGCGCAAAGAAGAAAGGGGGGAAATGGCGTGTCTGCGTAGACTTTACAGATCTAAACAAGGCATGTCCCAAGGACAACTACCCCCTGCCAAAGGTGGACCAGCTGGTAGATGCCACTGCCGGATATGAACGAATGGACTTCCTGGATGCTCGAGCAGGATATCATCAGATCCCTCTCTATCCCTCGGATCAGGAAACGATGGCGTTTATCACTCCGAATGGAGTTTACTGTTACAAAGTGATGCCGTTTGGACTAAAGAACGCCGGAGCAACATACCAAAGACTGATGAATCGGATGTTCAAAAAGCATATCGGCAACACCATAGAGGTCTACATAGACGATATGCTGGTAAAGAGCAAACGGAGTTGTGATCATCTGACAGATTTGGCGGATACCTTCTCCACCCTCAGGGAGTATGGGCTAAAGCTGAATACGGCAAAGTGCATTTTCGGAGTGGAATCAGGTAAATTCCTCGGATACCAGGTTAGTCAACGAGGAATCGAAGCCAACCCAGATCAGATTCAAGCGATCCTGGACATCCGGAGCCCCCGCACTGTCCGAGAAGTCCAGAAACTCACAGGGATGCTGGCTGCACTTAACCGTTTCGTCTCACGCACCTCGGACAAATGCAAACCCTTTTTCGGAGCAATCAAGAGTGCTGGGAAGAATATGTGGAGCCGGGGTGCGAGGACGCCCTGGCTGGAATCAAGGAATACCTAAGGACTCTTCCAACCTTATCCGTCCCCATCCAGGGGGAGATGCTGTTCTTGTACCTGGCAGTATCTGAGTTTGCGGTAAGCGGGGTACTTATCCGTGAGCATGAGCACCGCCAGAAGCCGATTTATTATATAAGCAAGGCGCTCCTGGACGCAGAGACAAGATATCTACCCCTAGAGAAACTGACTCTATCCCTGGTCACCACTGCAAGAAACTGCGGCATTATTTCCAGGCGCACCCAATCACTGTCCTTACCGATCAGCCCTTGAAAGCGATCTTGAGAAAAGCGGAACTCTCCGGAAGGATTTCCAAGTGGGCAGTAGAGTTGGGGGAGCACGACATTCATTTCAAACCCCGAACTGCGATAAAATGTCAAATATTGACAGACTTCATAGCTGAGTTTTCGGGGGAGCATCCCGTTTAGAAGGACCGCCTCTCCCGACTTAGCGTCTCCAACGAATTGTGAAGGATCGCCATGGCTTTTGTGTGTGGACGGTTCGTCAAATAGTAAGGGGTCCAGAATCGGTATCTTGCTGACCTCTTCAGATGGGATTATTGCGGAGCAGGCCGTTCGGCTGGGATTCAAGGCTTCGAATAATGAAGCTGAATACAAGGCCCTCATCTCAGGACTTCGGTTAGCGGAGGCGACTGGAGTTACCGATTTAATCTTGCATTGTGATTCTATGCTAGTAGTCAATCAAGTTAACGGAGAGTTTTGAGACAAGGGACCCTAGGATGAAGGCCTACCATCACCAGGCGACGACTGTAATTCGAAGGTTCGGCTGGATTGAAATCAAACAAGTGTCCCGAGACAAGAACACACATGCCGACGCCCTGACTTGTCTAGCCTCGGCGGTGGACTCCTCCCAGTCGCGCAGGATCACCATTGAATACCTTCCCGCATCCTGCATAGATCATGCTCCCGAGGCAATGGTCATCCAGGACGCACACAAGCCGCCCAGTTGGATTGATCCCTTTCTAAGGTTCCTAACAATAGGAGATCTCCCGGAGTGTTCAAAGGAAGCAAGAAAGATAAAACTCAAAGCTCCAAGATTTTGGGTCTCTCCGGATCAGAAACTGTAT